GCAAGCAACCTGAGCTGGTCGTTGTCCTGCTGCAATCGTTGAATTTGTTCCAGAAGTCCAGGTCGTCCTCCGGCTGCACCTTCTCCGTGGGGTAGTAGATCATTAATCGTCGCAGCAACCTTGTCCGCCACGTGTTGCAAGAGCTGAGCGCGATACGCCCATACGGTAAGGTCGCGTGGGCCTTCGGTAGCAACGGTATGGTTGTCGTGTAGTTGTTTAAGGACATCAGAGATGTCGTATTGGTCCGAGGACTTGCGGAGCGTCCGAATAATGAATGACGCCAAAAGCGCTTCCTGTCGCGTCCTGAAAATTTCAATCACAAGAGGGCGGCCAGCCGCCAGCAGGCGGACGATCCATGCTTGCCCCGCATTCGGGGTAAGCGACACAACAGGTACGAGATGAATAGGCATTTCGGCGATGCCGAGACGCCGGGTAAAGGCAGTGTCTACGACATTGCGCGGTAAAGGGAAACCGCGGTCTGGGTTCGCGTCAAGGAAGAGGTCGGTGGTTTCCCAGTTGGCGCCGAGCGGATAGATGTCTTCGTAGCGTTCCTGAAGTAGGCGGTGGTCTCGAGCGGAAGGAGGATCGCGGCGATCACGGCGAGGTTCACGTCGAGCTGGAGGTGCACCGGAGGAAGAATAGTGGGATGGATCATCATGAGGTGGGGGAGTGGAGTGCACCCGGCTGTCAGAGTGTGGTGCCCGTCGGTCAGAGTCGGAAGGAGGAGGATGTCGTCGAGACGATGGCCGTGGTGAAGAATAGTGTAGCCGACGTCGTGGGGGAGAATCAGCATCAGGATCTCGATGTCGATGTTGTCTGATCGAAGTGCCACGGTGGCGGTGGCGGTGATGTTCCGGCGTGTTGGACACCGGGGTTCGGCTGCGATGTCGTCGGGACCGAGGAGGAGACGTACGGCTGTGTGCGCGATTGTCCCGGAAGGACCCCGACCTGGGAGGTTGCGTCGTAATGTTCCGCTGGGACGAATAGGGATCGTGTCGAGAAGGTTCATCACGTCCATGTAGACGATGTCGTCGGGAAGGTGGAGTGCGAGAGCGGTGTGGAGGCATAAGGAGGAGGAAGAGTGGGAGGAGGTGTGAGGAAGCAGGCGAAAGGAGCCAAAATAAAAACGGCTGCGGGAAGTGAGCTCGCTTAAGAACTGCTGCAGTAGCAAATGGTCCTCTTTGTCCAGGTCCTGAGCGCGCATCATGAGAAACGTCCGAGCCGGATCAGAGGTAACTCCTGGTAGCTGGAGGGAATGAAGACCCAATGCTGAATTCCACGGTGTAACGCCATACCGCGGACTTGTTGTGGACAAAACGGATGGAAGATGGACAGGCACGGTCGAGAAGAATGTGACCGTGGAAGATCGGGTGTGCGTTCCACGTAGAAGGCATATTGGAGTCCACGATCACGAAGAAGGGCTCGTACGGCGTAGTATGTTCGCGAGCAGGTCACCATCAAAGAAGCAACGACGCCGGGATGAAATGTGATCTCGGCGAGGGCATAGTGAAGGTGATAGTCGCGTTCCGTCCGGAACGCAAGGGCCTGGCCATGTAGTTCAGCAATAGGAAAGAGGCACCTTAACGTGGAGTCCGGAGCGGGTGTACGGTCAGAAGCAGTGTCCATCATCGAGTCCGGAGGGACGAGAGCTGTACGTAGACGAAGTTCCAAGAGTGGTAAGAACACCCGGAAGAGAATGAAAGGATCAGTCAATACGTCCAAGTACTCCAGGACAGTTGCCGAAGTGGATGACGACAAGGTCGAGCAGGAAGAGGAGGCAGAGGATGAAAAAGGAGCAGAGCGTCGGAAAGGCATGTATGGTACCAGGGAAGGGCAGGACTGTGGAGTGATGTAGAAAATGGCTGCGGAACATCCAAAAAGGAAGGAGCAGAGTCGGCGAGGGCACATGTTTTGTTCAGGCCCGAGCGACAGAGTAGAGAGTCAGGGGTGGGCGCTGCTGGTCTCCGCTCAGATCCCGTCGGTGTCGATCACGGTCTCGATCGCGATGGGGAACATCACGCGCACCTCGAGAGCGGTCAGGATCCTCACGATCATCACGGTCTCGGTCAGCACGATCGCGGCGGCGACGCCGACTGCGGGATCGGCCGGTTGTCGCCGTTGTGGTCCGTGGAGGAGGAAGTTGCGGTCGGGCTTTGACCGGTACATAAGTCAAAGTGCCATCAGCATCGACCTTAGGTGCAAGAGGTCGTCCAGTGTGCTTGGAGACAGCCGGAGGTGGAACTGTGTGGCCGATCGGGATGGCATCAGAATGTCCCGGGGTTGATGGCATAGGAGGAGAAGAAGGTCCAGCAGGTAGCGGGTCAGGAGGAAGTGGGGATACCGAGCGACGTCGTCGGCGATGACGATCACGATCGCGGTCTTCAGCGCGAGAACGTTCTTCATCTCGAGGGCGGCCGCGATCTCGTCTCCGTAGTCGTGGCAGGGTTTGGCGCTGGGAGGGATCCACATGAGGAGGAATCGGTGGTGGTCCCATGGGAGCCGGAGGGGCCACACTGCCGTCTGGAAGTACTTGAGGTCCAGGAGAGTCGTAGGCGGCTTGACCAGAATAAGGGCCTGGGTCACTGGAGGTGAGCGGCGCTGTGGCAGGTGGGGGAGCATCGGGAGGCGGTGGAGTAGATGTCGTAGCCACCGGTGTCACAGGGGTCAACGTCGGTCGATTCTGATGGGCTCGTAGTAATACATCACGTACTTGGAGCAGTTGGTGGTCGGACAACGACTCGAAAAACACCAAGAACAACTGCAAATATTCAGAAGTGAAGGCGGAGGAGGCCATGATGTGCTAGGAAGGTTTCAGCAAAACGGCTGCGGGATGAAGAGGAATAAGGCTGCAACAACAAAGAGACCAGCCATGCCACACCGCAAATCACGCACACCTTTTGTGGGTCCTCTCACATGAACACGGCAATGCCTTCTGGTTGTGCAAGCGTGGAGTGCACGCCCCAACGGTTGTCGTTGCCGTGCAGGATGGAGACGAAGTAGTTCGCCGCGTTTTCGGGGACGGTGCCCCCACTGTCGCTCTTCAGGTGATAGGCCGCGGGAGTGTTGGGGAGCACTGAAGACGGTGTATCGGTAGGCGCGGCATTGGCTATGTCGAGATAGCAAATGGGGATTCGGCCATATACACAAATCGGACGGGGAGAACCCCATCCTCCGAACTTGGCTGCAGCCCGTAAGGCTCCGCTGAGACTGTGGACGGAAGCGCGAGAGTAAAAAGCAGGACTCGGCAGCCAAGAAGCGTCAAGGGGGTCGAAGTTGCTGGGGCGGATGCAGCCTTCTTTTAGGATGCCAAAAGCCGCCTGAAGGTCCGTGTTGTGACCGAAATATGCGACTGCAGGTGCCCCGCTAACACGCTGTGCTGCTGCCGGGAAGGGGAGCGAAACCATCAGCATCGGTCTGCCTGCTTGGTCTGGTTGATGTTGGGGAGCCTCGACGTGTGTAAACTTGAACTGAACACTGTGAGGATGGTATCCAGCATGTACCAGCAGATGCATCACTGTAAGTATCGGATCGGCTAGAGTGAAAGGCACATCAACTTGGCGTCCCTCCAAGAGTAACTCCCGTTGACATTGTCGACGATGAGGGAGCGCTTTGAAGTAGGACCTGTATTGCAGCAATGCAGTATATACTCGATCCCAGTGTACCGCCTTGAGGGAGCCCAGTCGTGTGGAGTAATCGGATTGCAGGTAGGTATCAAGTTGGCCTGCCGTGGCCAAACACTGGCGTAAGGTTGACAAAGTGCAGGCGGAGCTGAAGGGAGCTGCTGAGGTCGAAGATGCTGTAGGTGGCGAGGTCGAGGATGCCGTAGGGGTAGTAGACGGGTCCGGCGGTGAGGTAGAGACATAGGCAGCAGGCACTGACTGGTCGTTGTTGGAGGAAGACGGGGTTGAGCCAGTGGGAAGTAAACCAGGCCAAAACGGGCTCGGAGGAAGAGGAGAAAGATCAGGGAGAGTGCTTGGAGCTGCCATATCAATAGGTCGTGGAGGCTGTAAAGGGGCAGCGATTCGGCCAGTCAAAGTAGAACGTTGAGGTGCCGCAGTCCGGGTCGTAGGTGCCGCCGGCGTTGACGACGAAGAGGAAGAGGAAGACGATGAGGACGCAGACCTCGGGCGTCGCCGAGATCGTGATCGAGAGGGTGCAGTCGTCCAGAGTCCAGGTGCACAGGATGGACGGGGACGAGGAGGCATGGCGAATGCAGACAAGCAATGCACAGCCTACAACAACAACTACTACAGGGAAAAGCCACTAGAACGTTACGGTCAAAACTCTTCCTGCCTGAGTCCTTGGGTATGAGTGCTTGAAGCCGCTTTAGCTGCAATCGCGTTTTGGTAGGCATGAAGCCGAATTTGTGGGTGCCATGAGAAGCGGTTAGGCCATGTGGCTTCACTGCTCTCCTCATTGAACTGATCTAAGCGCTGACACTGAATTTGGCGCCTCCGAACTTGGAGGATCTGAGTGCAGCACCGAGGCATACACCACCGTCCCGGAGGACTACACACTGAATGCTAAGAGAGGTTTCTGTATGCGAAGGACCACCTGATGCCCAGGTCTTGGGCGACCATGCACCAGCAACTTTGAACACGTATCTTCATGCGCAGTAAGGTCGAAGCTGAACGGCTCAAAGTGTGCCACCTAGACCTGCAACCTGACTAAACCACAAAGGGCCGAAACCTCTATCCCCGCGCAAGCAAGCACTGCAAGTACTGTATGCCAGGATGTCACGCAAGCACTGACGGAGTTCAGAATGGGGTTCTTGGCTTGGCCCCAGGCCATCCAGAAGATTTCATCACGAATAAAGTATAACCAATGCACAGCGAGGATGCTAGATACCAAATACGTTCGTTGTGCAGGTACACGGAGTTGATCAGACTCCGCTTCCCCCATGGTGGATAGCTTCGTTGGCACAGGTACCACCATGGGCCTGTGCCCCCTGCTGTGTGCTCTGCACTCAAGTTCAGTTATATGTAAATCGTAAATAGGAAATGGCTGCAGAGCGTGAGGAGAAGGCCCTTGGATACAGGGTTGTCACACACACACACACACACACACACACACACACACAGACAGACACGAACATTCAGGCCCGCAACGCAGAGCTTTCGTGCACTGAGGAAGAGAGCATCTCAATCAACGTATCGCTCTCCATTGCCACCTGGGCTGACTTGGAGCCTTGGCAAAACGAAGCCCAGGCTTTGACACAGGAAGAGAGAGAGCAAGCAAGCAAGAGACTTCACCCGGGCTTAGGTCGGCGATGCCGTGCGTCAGCTTCTCTGGGCCTCCCCCACTTTGCGACAGCCTCTGGTGGGTTTGGACTGCATGGATCCGTCGCACGTCCGACAAACAGAGCCTCGGACCGTCAGCATGCGCAGTGAGCCCTTAACCCTGACTTGACTTGAACATCTGAGCACCTGGAACGCACCCTGAAGGTAGGCCAGAAGCTCAAGGAAGCAAAGCGGGACTTCAACAAATTGACGGCTGAAGATCTTCTTCCAGCAGCCATGCTCGAATCGCCCAGGCCCGACGGCGAACTTGCGGCGGTTTTACCTGATTTCATGGTAAAGTCGCACAGCGGGGAAAGTCTTTCGAAGATTGAATAGAAAGGCGCAAGTCCCGGGATCCCATCACCTTCCAAAGCCAACACCAAAGTCGCAACCAGGGGCTTTTTTCCTAGGGTTTGGGGCTGCCTTACTATGTTTTAAGGATTTTTGATTAGGGTCTAGGGCTGTTCTACCCATCCAGCCGCGTGGCCTTGCCCCGGGGGCGTTTTTTTCTGGAGGCTGCCCTCGCGGATTCACCTGAGCAAGTCTCTGCTCGGAAAGGACCTGCACGTCGCGCAGCTCGGCTTCGTTGAACTCTGCTCTGCGTTGGACGGATAAGAACGTCATTCATAGATACGATAGACTTGCGACCATACTAGTACTAGTAGCAGCAGTGATTGCAATCACTGCCATAAGCAATGAGAGTATGGATCGTAGCAAGAATGTCGAGCATTCCAGAATTCGTGGCCTCTTCTGCCCTCACCAGGCAGGCGCAGAGCTTCCGCTTCGGTCAGTTAGCCAGCCTGGTGGAGCTGCCGGAAACCGACTCAGACTCTGACGAGGCGCCGGGTACCGAAGAGGAAGAGCACAAGTAGCAAGTAGCCCAAAACCGCGGCGACTCGCGACGTTTTCTGAGGAGGAGGACCTCCCCAAGAACGCGAGGAGGTATGCCTTGCATATCAACTTTGGCAACGAGGACACCGTCACGGGGTGTTGCGTTGGAGAGGAGAGGAGCCCGGAGGGAACTCCGGCAGGACGTGGGCTCGTGGATTCGTGTGGTGTTCGTGGCCCCAAGCCCGGCTCTTCGCACTGCGATGGCATGGCTTGCAAAGCGACAGCTTGCCGCACGCTGGGCACTTACAGCTGTTTTTGTGGATTCCAGGCTTCCCAAAAGGGCATGAGAAGTGTGACGTTCGCGTGCTAGACAGACACCAGATGACAAGGACGATTCAAGCAGTGATCTTTGCTTCTGAGGCGCAGGAGCCTGCAAAGTCTGTTTCAAAGCCAAGGAGAGCCATGTCGAAGTCGTGAGTTTCGGGACACGTCGAGTCTCTTGTCCCAGCCTTTGCAGTCCGATGGGCAGGAGCTGGTCCAGGCATCGGACATGAGCTGGACGCAGACGACAAGGTGAAATAACGGCTGTCACGAGACCTCCGTAGCTTTCGAGATTTGCTCGGATGAGTTGCAGGCTGATTCGAGTCTCGCCCTCAGCCTCGGACAGCAACGTTTGCCACTGCTTGTGTCAGTGCAGCATCTTCACCCGCTGCAGTCTTGTAACTATGTGACTGGCACGACACGACTTGCATGTACACTTGAGCACGCTTGTGTACAGATGCCTCAGATGCATCGCGCACCTTCTGCTCATAGGTGCTACGATACTGCGGCTACATCTGCCTCGAGACGTGACTCCGCCGACAGCGAAAGCCAGAGCCTACGAACCCGGCGCGAAGTACTCGCCGAGAAGCAGAGGACTCCAGTCGGAGGAGATCGGAGCAGAAGCTCGGAGATCAAAGGCGCTGGCGGGGCACAAAGGCCGATGAGACGCCACGGGACGCCGGCGCTTCCTCCAGGCTGTGCTCTGCAGCGGGCGCATCCGAAAAAGAGAGAGAGACCTGGCATAGCCGAGCTGCTGTTTGTCGGGCTGTAGGAGCTGAATGTAGGGGCTGTAGGGGGATGTGGGGAGCTTTCCGTCCGCGGCCCGTGCTCGAGCTTCTATGGGGGCCACGCTCCGCAGAGCCTCGGGCTCGGGGCCATGGGGCCGGGAACTCGGAAGACCCCAGAAACTCTCCGCCAGTGACGTCGCTTGTGGCTTGGTTATCCAATAATCCGATCAAGAGGTCTGGAGGCTCCACGGATTCAAAGAAAAAAGGCTGGCTGACTGCAGCATGCAGCCCGTGAGTGTTTACATGCGGACAGTGCAGCGGTTCGCTCGGAGGTGAAGAGAAGTACAAGCCGGAGGAACCTGCTGCAGATCCCACTGCCAGCGGGGATGTTGCGCAGGTTGCAAAACCTCGACGCTTGAAGAAGGCAGGAACTGCTCGCAGTCCCAAACTGTTGAAGCGGAAGCACTGTGAAGAAGGGTCGGGTAGTGTTCCACAGCGGTGTTCTTTTTGCACTCCTCGCAGTTCCCTAAACCCAAACTCTACGGCCTGCTGCTGGCTGATGTCCTGGTAGTAACGGTAGCAACCTGATCTTATGAAGCCGGCCTGCGTTGAGCGAGTGTGCGAGTCGAAACAGCGCAGGCTGCTACTCGAGCACGGCTCGAGGACTGACTGCACCTTAAAGCTGGAAAGGGTTGTTTTGTTTTTTAAATTGCCCGGCTTCGGGCAACGACATTTTGTGCATGATCAGCCGCCAGCTTGAATCGCAGGAGCGCAGCACTTCACCTCGTCACTGGCCTGCATCGGTTGCAGGTCGAAGCGAGGCTTCAGGTGGTCAACGGGTGACAGGGTACGAGAGGCAGGAGAAGGAGGAATGGTCGTCGTCGTCTCGGTAGTAGTGCAGCAAGAGTGCGCCATGGCTTCTCCCCAAAGGAAGGCATGGTCAAGACTGTTTGCATTCAGGAGTTGCGGTTGTCGTGCCTTCCGTATTTGTCGTAAGGTCCCCCAGATGCTGCAGACCACAAGGAGCCCACGGTTCCGGCCACTGAGGTCCAGAAATATCCTTGGAGCTTCGCACATGTGCAGGCAAGTGTGCCCACCGCCCGGCCAGGTGCGTCCTTGCGACAGCTGTGGTGAGATGAGAAAAACAACCAATTTTTCCCGTGGTGACGAGGTGCCAGGCTTAGTCCAGCAAGTCCAGCAGTCTGGCACAACAACACGGCATTTTCAACACGTCCGAATCGGATTGGGGTAGCATGCAGCATTCGCATACTAAGTCGCAATGGCTTTGTGCCGCCTGCCAGCTCACCAACGGAGGCTTGGTTCGGGTTTCTGGGAATTCCTGAAAACTTGAGAAGGGCGGAGGACGGAGGGAGAGTGAGAGACAGCCTCCCTGAACTGAACGAAGTATGGTTGTGCCCGTCATGTGTGCTGGCATTCCAACAAGTCCAACGCTTCCAAAGTGGTTGGGCCTGCGGATGCGCGAGGTGCACTGACGAGCAATGAAGGTGAGAAGAACCGCATGCAAAGTTTTCCCTTTCCTAACTGAGTCTGGGACCGAGCAACGATGGCATAGGATGACATAGGCACGGGGTTGACCCAAACCCCTTCACTCTGCAAGACCAGACACTCTGCGAACTTGTCATGATTCGGGGCTTGGAGGAGGAATGAGGACATGAGGCCGCAGAAAGAGTTCAGGATGAGCCGAAGAGCCAAAAGGGCCCTAGGCCCTAGGCCCTAGGTTAGTTCGGGGGACGAGCCAAAATTAGCCAACTTCTCAGCGTCTGTAGGTGTTCTGCATGTAGTTGTAGGCCCATGGAGCCTCTGGCCAGGTCTGGCCTTCGGTGCAAGACAAAAGCAGAAGAGGCTCTTGGAATGTGCTGTGCGGTGCTGTGCGGTGCTGTGACTGTTCTGGGAATGATCTGCACTGCTCTGCCATGCCAGGCTCAACGCGACCTCAGCGCAGTGGGCTCGGCAGCGAGCAAGAATCTGCATGAGATGTTGCCGTTGACCTTGCTCGAGCGAAGATACTGGATTGCGTTGCATCAAGGTTGAAGCCGCAACCTGTGTTTAGACGGCAGAACAGTGACAAGCAGCTCAGGAGCAGGGCCTGCAAGCTGCATGCAGGGTTGTAGTTGTAGTCCGAGCCAGTCCGAGATGGAGGCAGCAGGAATGTACGCAAAGTAGCAAGTAGCAAGGTACACCTTTAGAAATGGCTTGGCAGGAGCAAGCTGAGTGTTTTCTCGGATGACGACAGCGAACACAGATCAAACATCGGAAGGGAGAGAAGGCCCTTTTGCGATCCCAATCCTTCGTTCCGAGATTTGGAATGGTCAACCAATGCGTGTCACAGGCGCGGCAGATGTAAGACCAACAATAACGACACTGGCCATGAGCTGAGTTTGAGTGGGTCATGACTGTTGGCGGGATTGATGAGTTCCCCGAATTTGTGGAAGCACCCTGGCAGGTCTAGCGAGCAACAGCATGGAACCCAGTCACCCCGACAAACCGACTGCGGTCCCTTTTGTCGTTTACCAAGAACTGCCCTTGACTGCCGAGGCCTGGCACCCCCCGATGCTGACAGCGGCACGCGCCGGCCTGAGCAAGACAGCCCATGGAGCATGTTTAGGTGTCTGTCTGTTTTTACACCAGAGCCAAGTTGCAACAAGAGTGAGTCTGAGTCTGCAACAGGAACGGCTGCATTCGGCCAGCGTGACAGTTGAATCGAGAAAATGCTTCGCGAGGCCGCAGAGAAGAGCAAAGCTCATGCGGGCGAACACTGCGAATCTTAGCGGTATTGGCAAGGGGCGACGGGCTCAGAGCGACCTGGTCGAGAGTCCTCGAGTCCTTAGACTAGAGTCCCAGAGTCCTTTGAGCCCTGGGCCAGGAGCACCGTCAGCAGCGAAGGTAGCCAGGCCACAGCCCAAGGGTTCACTTAGACTTGATGCTCACTGCGCCTCTTCTCTCTGGATGAAGGAGATTCCATCCTGTCATGATGTTTCCGGCAGCTGCTTTGCTCAGACTGGAAGCGTTTTGCAGCAAAAGCTCTCTCTAGAGAAGCAATGTCGGAGGGAAAGGCAAGGCGCAAGATCACCGTGGCCACTTGTCCTGCAATTCAGCTGAAGGCTTCATGCGAAGATGAAAAGAGCCATGATGCGAATCCAATGCGAATGCTTCTGGAGGCCGAGCTTGAAAAGCACAGCTCCGAAGACAATGCATGGATGGCTGTTCATGGCTTGGTGCTGAACCTCTCCAAGGCCCTTCAGCGTCGTGTTTCATCGAACGAAAGAAGGGGTGGACGGAACATGCCAAAGCAGGGAACTCATGCGCCAGGATTTCTTGGACGAGCACCCAGGAGGTCCGGACGTAGTGACAGCGCTGGCTGGCAAGGACCGAAATCCGCACGATCCGTGCCGACGATGACGGTAAACGTAGCCAGACTGAGCCAGATGGATTGACAGATGGCCTGGATGTTAGTGATCTGCGTAGCTAGGACTGTTAAGAACACAGCGAACCGAGCGCCGTGCCAAGATGCGAGTTTTGGCATGTCCCATTTCCGAAAAGAGGCACCTCTTCGGGGCGGCATTCCGCAGCAGCTCAATCAAAGGCAAAGGTTAGCTGCAGCAAGCAGCAGCAATGATGAGCCAACGAAGAATTGCAAGGAAGGTGAATGCCGGCGGCAGCACCAACACGTGTGTCTGTTATACCGTCAGTCATTCTTCGACCTGTAATAGAGTCAAGTCTGGGTTTGATCAGACAACCGCTTTGGGGTGGCCTTGCAGCCGGCAGGATGGCACACAGGACTTCGAGGACATCTCGCACAGCGACAGTGCTCGAGACTGGGCCAGCAAGCTTCCCGACGGCATGCGGCTTGGGGCTTTGAAAGGGGTCGAAGAGGAAGCGTAAGACGTGTTGCTGTAGATCGGAGATTCTGCTGTGGATGGGGGGGATCTATATAGTCAACTTGTTGCCTGCCAACCTTCGGGAACTTGACTAAGGCTGATCATCGGCTACATGGAGAGTGCTGCGGATGAAGAGGGAATCCAAACAAAGCTTGTTCCCAAACATGCTGAAGCAGCAGCGAAATCCGGAGCTGCCGGTGGTTTGGGAGCCTTTGTGCCTGCAGTGCTGGTCCTCGCACTGGCAGCAGCAGCCTATTTCTTCCTGAACAAAGCCTGAAGAACCGCAGGGAAAGTATGAGGGCATTTTTCGCGACGAGCCACCACCCTTTTGCGTCTCTCCCGCGAGGTGTGGCCAAACGTTGCTCTTGTAGCTAAGCCCCTCCTGCACGTACAGTGGAG